AGTCCCACTGCCTCCCCCGCCCAGGCTGCCCGTGGGCGGAAGGCATCACAGCTGAGCAGATGGTGCCGTGAGCAGCCTCTGGTGCCATCCATCACGCCATGCTCTGGTTCCCCGTCATCATGTTCTGTTCTGCTTCCCGAGCCCTGAAACACGGCGAGCTGCGCGCAGCCTGGGAGCCGCGGAGCTGAACGCCAGTGAGGTGTGCCCGCGTCTGCCTGCACCCGCTGTAATTTGTTTATCTGTCCAAAGATCACGCAGTTGAAAATCCACAATCTTGTGCTGCCTTTGCAAATCACCACGCTGTGTTTGATGAATGTTTCCCCACTTCCACGGCAGCGGCTCAGGCTCATGAAAGATGGGCAGTGCTGGTGCGTGCGGTGCCGAGGTTGTGTTTTTATGCTTTCTGGCAGATGACCATGCTGGAAAGTAAATCTGACCTTAAGCTTCCTACTGCATTAAAGATAATTCAGTTTCAACTTTATAGTCTTGGATGCTTCAGTTGTGGATGTAAAACTCCAGCCCCATCAGAGCTGACTGATTGCCATCAACAAACCCGCTACCATCCACACTGCAGCATGGGCACCTGCCAGCCTCCCAGGTGCTGGGTGAAGGAGGTGTGCACACAGTGTCCACCAGCACACACACGCTGAAGTTGGTGTGTCTGTGCGGTAAACGGGGTTGTGGGCTGACAGCAACATCAGAAACAGGTGTCCTAGGCAAGGTAGGGAAGCAGAGGGCCCAGGAGGACCTTCAGAGCAGCACTGACACTCTGGTAACCAGGCCCCATCCACCTGTGGGCCAGGAGGAGGCCTGGGGGAGCCCTGATGCCCCCACACCTCCATGCCACCTCTGTCTTAGGAGCAGGGTTCTTCTCAGTGGGAGGGGCTGGCCAAAGTGCTGAGGTGATGTGAAGTCAGCAGACATCCCGCCTGGCTGGCTGCTCACTCCCTCCCAGTTACGCTCCCACCCTCCAGAGCTCCGCAGATGGGCAGAGCAAACAGTGTCCCGCCCCTCTGCCCCCAGGATACCCGAAGCCCCTTTCACCTGCTGGTGGGGTCACCCACACCACCCTCTCTCTGTTTGCTTCCAGTCTGAGAGCGAGGAGAAGGTTGTCACCTATGACCACATCGGGCCCAACGTCTGCATGGGAGACCATAAGGTGACGTGCACCGTGCTGCGGTCCAGGGGCCAGGAGGCTGGGGGACTGGAGGGTGGGCAGCGTTTCTCATCTCCTTATTTCTGGCTTTACAGAGTAGGCTGAGTTGGTGGGTTTTTATTTAATCTTAATAAAATGCTGAGAGAGAGATGGCCAGGTAGGGAGAAAGCAGAGGAGGCTAATTGCAGTCAAACAAGATACCTCATTTTGCACTTGCCAGAAGCAGTAGTTAGTTCTGCAGCTTCCTGTGTGCCCAGGCCACTTCTCCCGCTGCTCCAGGACCTGCAACATTTTCTGGCCTCACACCTGGCTCAGGCCCGCCAGGCAGAGTAGCACCACGTGCATGTTCTGTGGGTCCCGAGCACTCAGGGACAGCCACAGTCCGCACAGACCACTCGTTCCCCAACCCAGAACAGCCCAGCAGTCCTCAGGGACACTCGGGAGCACGTTAGGTCCTCTGGTCCTTGGCCATGGAGCGTGGTAGAGGCTGGACACACTTTCCTTCCCCACCGGCCTGAGGCTGACTTAGCAGTTCTGTAAACCAGTGCTCATGCTGATTTCTGTCTGGAACTCGAAGGGGCTGTGTGGGGCCCTGTGACTGGCCCCAGGCTGCAGGCCCAGGCCAGCTGGCTCTCGGCCTGTGCTCAGAGCACACACCTGCTCGGGACACATCCCAGCTGCCCTGAGACTCGAGGTTCTGTGGGAGGTGGCGGCGCGTGCGCACTGACACCCTCCTCTCCCGCTGCAGCCCGTGTTCCTGGCCTTCCGCATGGCGCCCGGGGCAGGTAAACCTCATGCACGTGTGCACAAGTGTTGTGTCGTGCAGTGACGTGTGGTAAATATGCCTCCTTCCCTCAGTTCTCCTTTTCTGCAGCTTTTCCTGGTGTGTTTGTACCTTTAACAAATTACTGACTCCAATTCAGGGAAGAGGTGCCCACGCAGCGAGGGGACCCTCCGTGAGACCTCCCTGTAGCAGTGTATGAAATACTCCTGCAGCAGCATCAGAAACCCGCCCAGGCAGCACCTGCTCGACGGCCGGCCCACACTTCGCTTCAGCTCCGGACCACGCCGGGAAAGCCTCACATACCTCACTGTTGTGTCTGTTTGTGTGACATTAAGTAGAAGCATTGGGTTTTTTAAAAAAATAATAAGTCACATCCTGTTGCCAAAACTCTAATAGCAAAGAGGTTCTGTATTTTAGATTTCAAAATCTTCCATTTTTAATGATTGTCTGTGGAGGAGCTTCTCCCGCCTAGGAACCCCACGGTGTCGGTGCCCTCTGCCAGGAGGCAGCCTCCAGTGCCTGCCCGGGCCCAGGCCGCTCCGTGGCGACTCTACTGCCATGTTACATGGTGTCCGAATCACACTGCAGCTGCTTCCCATTTTTATATATATAAATACATATAAATATATACTTTTTAAGAATAATTTATAAATCTTATCAAAACTTATGCTACATACACTCTTCAGTATGAATGCGCGTCGTAGCAGCAGGCAGAGCTGCGGCCGAGGTGTGTGGAGTGGGTGTGGACGCAGACAGGTGACCAGCAGTGCCAGGAGCAAGGCCTCTGCACCCGCTGGGCCAGCAATTTGTCACTCCTCTGCCTTTTCTGTAACATTAAGAACTGAATGTGAAGTTTATTGCTACCCTGTGTGTACCTTCTAAGGATTTTGTAAACTGTTTTGTCTGTCCTTTGTTACCGTTTTATGGTGCCAATATTCTACATTAAACCATAATCTCGTGGGAGAATTAGAAATAGCCTTGTCCGCTTCCCACAGAGATCGCTTCTAACATGGGCTGTACAGACCACGGGAGAGAAGCAGCACTGGGCCGCTCTGCGCCTGCGTGCCCACCCTGTGGCCACCTCTGCTTCCCGCCTGAGCACAGCCGGGGCCACTGCAGGGTGGAGACGCAGCGCCGGCATATTATCTACTTCAGAACACTACAGCTCCTGGACTGGGCACGGCGTGAGGTCGAGGTGGGTGTCTGCACAAACACCACCACTACAACCGCGAGTGATTTGGTCTCTGCTCGGACCCAGGCTCTCCACGCTAAGGGCCGGTCTGTGAGTGCTGCCGTCGCTGCTCACCAACACGCCATCGCGGCACCACCCAGCAGTTCTGTCTGTGGGCTTCAGCGGCGGTGACTCTCACTCGGAAGGCCTTTGGAAGTGACTGCTCGGTTCCTAAGCAATAAAATTGATCATGGTGAAAACAGTTCTCCCTGGCTTTGTCCTCCTTGCTTCCCCTGTCCGTCACCTCTGAAATGCAAAGTGGCAGGAGGGGCCTCTTTTGTGCCCTGTTGTTAAGCTCAACCCATTGGAACTTCAGTCTCACATATTTTCACAGGGTCATTAGTTAGGAATAGGAAATAATCTTTTGGGCTTTTTATAGTAGTAAAAAAAGACATATCCTTCAACATCGTAACTGGGTTATGTGAATACTTTGCTTTCCTTAAAAATTTAAAACCGGAAACTCAACTCTTCCCTTGTACTCAGATAACTCACAGAAATGATACTGCTTCCCTTTTTAAGAGCGTGGCTTCCCTTTAGGACAAGGGACAGGGGCTAAAAAGAATTGATTTAACCTTGGTATGTCAAGTGGCAAAAAGCAAAACCTAGACCTTCATGATTCTCTTAAACATTTCTGAAAACACCTTCCGAGAGAAATGTTGTAATTAACATAAAAATGGGACCATTTACACTTACATGAAGTCAAAACTCAGCGACCCAGGGAGCCCAGTGAGGTGCATCTAGAGAGTGTGCACCCAGCAGATGGGCTTTTGTAACAATTGCAGCTTGTTTAGAGCACTGGATGGGTTTTGTGGTAAGAAAACTGGCCTAGGAAAGGGTCAGCTGTAGGCTCCAGGGCTCTGTGCCCATGGGTTCGAACCACTGAGATGCAGCCCTTGCTGATGGGGTCCAGCTCTGACCAGGAGCCCTGATCATGGGCTGTTCCTTGTGACCTGTGAAACAGCTCCCCCAGGTTGTGCCCCTCTGAGAAGCTAGCCCTCCGCCCTGGGAGGCCATCCCAGGGTCGCTCTGCATGGAGATTTATGAGCTGTCCTTCTTCGGGCAGAATTATTTCAGATTTCTCTTTGCAGCCCTAGCTTGAATGAAATAGTGCTTTCTGCAGATGAAAAACCTATTACAATGGGAGCCCAAGGGCCACAGGGAAGAACTGCAAACCTGATTTCAAACGAGGTGAATTTGGTAGACATATTAAAAATATTTATCGTTCTGGCTAAAAGACTTAAAAATAATCATTTCAAAATATCCTTGGATGAGGCAGAGCCAGCCTGGTCTGAAAGTAGGACCGCTGCTGGAAGGACAGGGCCAGCCCACCCCCATCAACTGCAAAAGGAGAGAGTAATCGCTCCACTGCTGGGTCCGGTTGGGGGGACGGCACGCAGCTTACTCGCTATTTGGGAACACCCAAGTGTGGTCAGTTGGCCCAAACTTCATCCACATGAGCCAATGCAACCCTGGGCCTGCCCGAGGTGCGGGGCTGCCTGTTCCGGGCCGCGGGGGTCCATACCTGCTGAGCACCGCGCTTCCGTCTGGCTCCACTGGGGCCTCCGCGGCGGCTCCTTCCTTCTAGTCAGCTGCCCGAGGGTGCGCGGCCGGGTCGCCCTCCCTGCGCGTCGGCCGAGTCCCCGCCCGTCCTCGCTGTCTCCACGCTCCCGAGAGCTGCCGCCTGCCCGCCTGTGCCAGGCCCCGCGCCTCGCGGGGAGGACCGACGGGACGCGGCCCGGAGGCCCTTGCTGCCCGCCCGCAGGCGCCACGCTCGGTACGGAAGAAACACGCGGTGCAGCCTCGGGAGCCGCGGCTCCGACCCGGACGTGTTAAATAATTTATTGATTATACAAAGTGATCGCCCGAACCCCGCGCCCACACCAAGGGACGCCGCCGGGCCCCGCACGCCGAGCCGGAGCCGGGCCGCTTTATAACTTATTTGTAAAAATATATATACACGCTGCGGCACCGGCGGCGGGCTTCTGGGGCGCCGGGCGCCCGGCTTCCTGGTCCTCCGCCCGGCCGCGTCCTCACAAGGCGTCCCCCGCGCCGCCGCATGGGCTGACCAGCGCCAAGTTCGAGGGTTTGTGCTTCTTGAGCAGCCGCGTGATCTTCTCATCGTCCGAGTTGGGGTCCAGGGGCCGGTTGTACTCGTCATCGTCCTCCGCGTCCGAGCCTCCCACCTTCAGCTTCTCTGCGTCTGAGTCCTGCTTCTTCTTGGCCGACGCCATCTCCGCCGCGTGCCGCTTGCGCCACTTGGTCCTGCGGTTCTGAAACCACACCTGGGGGCGGGAGAGGTCCGTCAGAGGGGCCTCCGAAATTCCGAGTCCTCTACAACGCTGGCCTCCCCGGCGGACCCGGCCCGACCCCGCCGTCCGCCCGTGGCCAGCACCGCGCACCCGTGCAGCGGCGCCTCTCGGGGTTGGCCGAGGCCGGACGGCCGCTCGCCGACCCTTCGCAGGACGCGGGCGCCGGGATCTGCCTTCGCGCAGCAAGACCCCAGGGAGGCCGCCCCTGGCCTGCGCGCTCACCTTCACCTGGCTCTCGGTCATGCCCAGGGAGTAGGCGAGCCGCGCGCGCTCTGGGCCCGCCAGGTACTTAGTCTGCTCGAAGGTCTTCTCCAGCGCGAAGATCTGCTGGCCAGAGAAGGTCGGCCTCGAGTGTTTCTTCTTGCCGTCCTTGTCCAGCACCCCGCCGGCTTGGGCTGCGAAGGAGGGCGGGTGAGAGCAGTCCGCGCGCCCAGCCCGCCCCACGCAGAGCCCCGCGCGGGCCACTTACCCGAGCCGGCCAGGCGCGGGTCCCTCCAGGGTGAGCCCTGCACCACGCCGGGCCAGAAAATAGGCGGGCGCCCGGGCAACTCGGCCAGAGGCTTGGGGTAGCCGCGCGCCACGGCGGCCGCGGGCCCAAAGTAGACGCCGGCCGACGAGGCCAGCCCATTGAGGCGGGGCAGGCCGCCCAGGAGGCCGCCGCCCGCCGCGCCCACTGGCCGCCCCAGGATGTCGCTGATGCCGTGCGGGGTGCCCAGCGGCAACTGCGTGCCAAGGCTTCCCAGTGCGGGCGCCTTGAAGCCAGCCGGGCCCTGCAGCGCGTACGGGAACAGCGACGTCTTCATTTCGGCCATGTTGTGCAGCGCAGCCAGCGGCGCGCTGCTCAGCACAAACGCGCCCGGGCGGTTAGCGTCCATGGGCGCCGCCGCCACCGGCCCGGGCGCCCATCCGGGCCCCGTCGCCGCCGCCCGCGCCCGCTGGCCCGGAGAAGTTTGTGCGCGGCGCGGGCGGGCGCCGGCTGCAGCGGGGCGCGCGGGGCGCGGGCGGGCGCCGACGGCCCGAGCGGGCGGGCGGCTCCGGCGCGCGCTGGAGAGATGGGGTTTCGGGCGGCGGCGGCGGCTCCGGGGCCGGTCCGAGCGGCGCCGCGCGGGACGGACGCACTGATAACCGCGGGGCCCGGGCGCGGCGCGCGCGCTGATTGGCTGCGGGCACCGGCGGCCCGGCCATTGGCCAGCGCCCCGCCGTCTGCGCGCGCCCCCGCCGGCCGCGCACTCCATGAAGGGCCCATTAGTGCGGCAGGTGCTTCCTGGGCTGTAAATTTGTCCCCTGATTTATCTCCCCAGGGACGAAATAAATCCCGTTGGATGGGAGTTTAGTTAGGCAAAGGTTTTAATGGGAAATCAGAAAAAAAATACGAGAACATATTTTATCGCCGGAAAGAATGCAGATTTGAAGATCAAGCCCTCTCGTTCAGTGCGTCCTTTTCGGGGGAGAGCCCCGGGCGGCCAGACGACGAGGTTCTGCGGGCGCAGGCAGGGACTATGGTCCGAGCCGCGCCCTGCGCTGGTCAGCCTCTGCTGAAGGCTTACAGCGAACGCTGTCCTGGCGGGCCCTGGCCGAGGACGGGAGGAAGAAGCTGAGGCTCGGAGTACACGGATCGAATGGCCAGACTAGACTCGGGCGAATGGGCTGCTGGTCTGGCCAACGAACGGCCCGTTCTGTATCAGGGAGGGCCGAAGGGACAGGGGTCACCCTCCGGGCTTTCAATTAATACATACTGGGTGGAGGTTCTGGGTTACCTGCAGCTGGGTGGTGATGTGGCGGCCCCCAGAGATTTCCCGTTGGGGAGATCAGGGTCTCCTATTAGAGGTTACCCGGGAGGTAACTCTAGGCAGGGGCTGCGACCCAGGACCACCAGTGGCCTATGGAGCCGTTCTCTCATAAATCGCAGCCCCAGCGGGGAGAACTGGGACCCCAACTGTCTCAGAGCTCTGAGGCCCAGGGTGCGCAGGGTGTCACTTTCAATTCTGAACGTGGGTGCGCTCTTGAAGAGCAGCAGGCAAAGCACGGCCTTTATGTATTGTTCATGTGGCCCTAATGACCTCCTTGGGTCCAGAGAACTCTCACCCCAGAGAATTGCTGCAAGGTAAAATGAGGCCAAAGTCGACTGGGAGCCCACCCTATGCAGGCTCTGAACAGATGCTGAGCGCTGTCACTTTCTTCCTCTTGGGTAATGCTGTGTATTAACAGTAACAGGTGAAGGCTATTATAATTATCTGCTACCGGTTGGGTGGGAGCCGTGACCCAAATGTGTGCAAGAAGACGACCATTTCGGGTCTGGGTTTCTGGGTGGAAGCTGTGTGTTCGAGGTCGGCTCTCTGGGGCCTGGGCCAGTTCGTTACCAACGACTTTTCCATTTTGCCCCAGCCGCCGGGGTTTTGGTGTCGTGGAAGGAGGAGACCTCCGCGGTTCTGTGCAGCGGCCTAATGTCCACTCCCTCTTCTCCCTCCCGGGGTTCATTTTCGTTTTATGTGCCATGGGTTAGGTACCCATCAGGTCGAGGTTTCAAAAGCCACTCTTGGCTGGGGCGTTGTGTGGGTCGGGATTCTGAATCGCTCCTGACCGAGCTTGCGCTCACAGTGCTGCGGAGCCTGCGCGACGCGGCGCTGCACGTCTGGTGTTCCACCCCTGTGAGGTGAGGCCCCGCGCATAGGGGTTTTGCTCTTCTGGTTTTCTAGGCGGGGTCAGCCCTCCTAGTATCCGATTGTGCGCCTCAGCCCGCCGGCGATGGAGCCCAGTTGAGGCAAGCCTACGGCCCTGGACACAGGCACTTGGGACCCTTACACTGTCAATGGCACCCAGTCCGCCTGGCCCCAAACACTCTCGGGGCCTCGCTCGCCCCCACATCTTCGGAGGAAATACACAAGGCGCGCTACGAGTGTCCGAGTGTCCGAGCACAAGGGGAACCCTCCCGAGTAGGGTTTGGATCCTCCTGGGCTCCCGAGAGGTATTAAGGCGGGAGGCCAAGGCCTCTGCAGGGACGCGGGAAACTGTGGGGTTGGGGGCAGGGCCGGAGAGGGCGGGGCGGGAATGAGTAGGAGGGGCCGGACTCCATCGCGGGACCCCAGCTCCGCTCCACCCAGCGCAACCCGACTTCAGGCAGCGGCGGCCGCTAAGCTGTCTTGCAGGAGCGCGGGCCTCCAGAATATGAACAGGGAGAGGCGCGCCCAGACGGGAGGGCAGGTGCGCTTTATGTTCCCGTAGGATCCGGGGAACCTCGGCGCTAGGCAGAAGGAATACCACCGCTCCAGGCTGCACTCTTTGGTTTCTCTCAGCCGGCCGGGAGACCCTTTAGCGCCGTTTAAGACTGAGAAAACAGTTTTCGGTCGCTGCCCTGCGCACCAGCAAGCCTGGGTCTGTGTAAACCAGAGTCCTTCCTCGGCTGTGGCCTGAACGCGCGGGGTCGCGAGTGGGATGGCAGACTCACTGGGTAACAGAGTGTGCGGCTCTCCAGGGGCTCCCAGCGTGCGGAATGAGGGGGCTGTGGGTGCAGGATGAGGAAGATGGTGCGAGTCTCGGCGCCCGAAGTGCGGTGTGCGTTCTACGGGTGCCTTGTTCTTCCTTGGACACCCTGGACACTTCCCCTCCCAGCTGGAGGACTTAACGCGGAGTCCCCTCCCCCGGTTAGGCGGGCTGCTGCAGGGGTGCTAAACTTCTTTCCCGTGCGCGGTCTCTGGTCGCCGCCCAGAGCTCCCACTCACAACCGCTTCTGCTGCGTCCCCAGGCACCACCCCCTTGGTAGGATCCAAGGAAGCGCCCCTCTTGGAGAAAGATCCCAGAAGCCGCCCTCCCCAGAAGGCGAGCGCCGCTGGGCTCCCTCCGCGCAGCTGTGGAGAGGTTCGCCAATGCCACCTCCTGGTTTAGCAGAAAATGTCCTACGACTGCGGGCACTTTCTTCGCAAACAGTTTGCAGCTGGAAGATGGATCACGCGCCATTTGGCAGAACTCTTTCAGAACTTATTTCACCCTTTCAGCCTGTGTTTGTTGGGTACCTGCTATGCCAGGTCACCCTGAGTAAGCGAAGTGAACAGCTGGGAACTCCAGCCTCTGATGCTCTCCCCTGGCAGTAGTGGGCCGATAATAAACCGTTGGTGAATAGAACACCCCGAGTGCCCGCTGGGAGGACAGGTGACCGACCACGCAAGGCAGGGGTCGGGTATCTCCCAGAAGGAACCTTAGGGCAGGGGGAGACAGGCAGGTCACAGGGACATGCACGCGAGAGGAGCTTGGAAGCTATCTGTGGCCGCACAGGGAGCCCGAGGAGTCCCCCGGGAACTCATACACGAAACAGTGACCCAGTGCAGCTCTGGGCAGCTCCTGGGCTGCCCCTGCCCTGGCCTGACCCACTCTAGACTGGAGTTTCCGAGGCAGCCCTCTGTGTAGCGTCTTGGCTTTGTTCTGTGCACAAATGAGAGCGTGTTCACAGCCGTCTGTGCACGACTCGGCTAGCAGGGTGCTTCCCGGCGCCAGTGGTCCAAAGGAACGAAAAGGGACCACTGAGACTACCCAGAATCATCTCTGTGGTTGCCATCCAGCTGGCTCGGGATGAAGAGGAAGACGTGGGTTTACGGAGCCGGAGCTGGAGGGTCCCCAGAGGTGGAGCCCAGGGCGCAGGTGGAGTTACAGGGCCTCTGCGGGGGGCCCACCAAGACGTGTTGCCCTCAGAACAAAGCAGCCAGGAGGAGACGCCAAACCCCCAGCAAAATGCAGGGAGAAGGGCAACCTCTCTAGCGCCCTCCAGTGGCAGATGCTGCGCTGCGACAAGGGCTGGGGCAGAGTGCCCTCCATGGCTGGGTGCCAGAGCATGAATCAGGGGTGGGTGGCCTGGGGCAGGAGGGGTGGCTGAGGCCTCGCCCACGTCTCCAACCTGCGGACTGTTTGTGGCTCAGCCGGCCCAGACTCTTGTACAGCCCATTGCCAACAGCCTGGCTGCCCATCCCTCCCACGGGGATCTGCAGGTAGCCTCCTGTCCTGGGGCTAAATAAGTGCTGTAGAATAAGTGAACCTGGCAGGGGTCGCAGGCTTCAGAGGTTTTGGGAGGGCAGAAAGTTAGAGAGGGGAGCCTGTGAACGCTGGGTTGGGGCTACTAAGGAGAGAGAAGCAGCGCCCACTGCTCCTGAGCAGAAGGGCATCATCTCAGGGCCAGGGGCTGTCAGTAGCCAGCCCTTGTGAGGTGTCTGGTGGCCCTTGAGGTGTATGGAGACTTCATTGGCAGGGACCAGGCCACTTGCCAGCAGTGGTCAAGGGGAGGACAGCTGAGGTTGGAGAGATCACAGGCTGGTGGTCTCCAGGCCGAGAAAGACTGGGGCAGAGCTCTGGGAATCTGGGATCCTGAGGGTGGCAGGAGGCCCCACTGGTAGGCTAAGGAAGAGGACATTGGGCAGAGTGGGCAGGGGTGCCAGGGCAGCCCACCACTTCCTGCAGGAAGCAGCCTAGACAACAGGCAGACCTGCAGGCCCAGGTGTCAGGAGGGAGAGGACCCCTGGACTCTCCTGAGGACCCCTCTGGAGTCCCCCAGGCCCTCTGGCTTTGTGGGACCTGGCCAGGCACCCAGCCAGGTACCTCCTGCCTTATGCACCTCACTCTGGCTCTGGATCCCTGGTTCTCATCAAGCCCCTCTTATTTCTTTAAGAGTGATTTATTCTGGTAAATATAATGGTGCAGGCAGGTGTCTAGAGTAACTCAAATTCTCCTCATCCCTCCTCAGAGCTGAGCTCCCTCCATTACCCACTTGCTGGGCCTTATAAGGGAAGTACCCGGAGGCCCAGGACCCCCATTGGCCCACAGCCACCCTTCCAGTGTGTGAACTGTGGGGCACTGGGTACATCACACAACCCATCTCCTGGGCAGCTGTCTGGCATCAAGTTCCAGCA